AGCTGGTCTAATAATCTTGTTGACGTACGTAAATGGTATCTGAATACGTGAGGGCATCGAATGGCTGTACATCAGTCAAAAATGTCTTTGAAAGCGCACGACGTAAATAAAACAGTCACTTATTGTTTTTCTCCAAACACAATTTATCCCGGTGAGCACGCAGCGATAAGAAGTCAGAATGGCTCTCATTCGGATATGGAATTTGTGATATAGAATTGTACGCATCATCTTTGCTAATCAGACTATGTAAGAAAAAATGCTTTGGAGGACGGTCTCTAACACAACTGATATGGAGCTGCGAATAAGGGGTTTTCAATATTAAACAGTACAATCAGGAAGTTCAACTTAACATTTGTTTCGCTATAAACTTTGGGCTTTTCATTTTCACGGTCTATTCGTGTTTCGATCCACTTTCTTTATGGTTTCAAATTTCACTTTTTTATTGTCCCAGTGAAGACTAACGTAGGCATAAAACGCGATTGAATTGCGACATTTGATATTCACAAAGGAAGCTGAGCAATTTAACGATAGCTAAGTTAAGGTCTCTAATAAGTACTAACAACATTGTCACCCTCTTTCTTAACTTCACATCCATCTTTGAAAATCGCACACTACTATGGGTAAGCTAGAGAAGTTCTTGAAGTGAGGGACAGTATCATCCATTTCAAACAAAGCTTCTGTGGTCTTTATTGATACAGAAAATTCGACCTTGTCGCGAGAACACATGCTTTAGATAACCTAGGTCGTAGCATAAATGCCCTCTCATATTAGTCTAGTCAATTTCTAGCCAATTCAGTTCCTCCCCTTTGTTGAAGTTGATGTCTCTGATGACCTAGGTCGTAGCATAAATGCCCTCTCATTTTAGTCTAGTCAATTTCTAGCCAATTCAGTTCCTCCCCTTTGTTGAAGTTGATGTCTCTGATGCAACCAGCAGATGTTGCGAAAACCAGTAAGGCGCGGGATTGAAAAACAAAAACAATTCATGTTCTTTTCAGAACAAGGTTCTGCACAACTGAAAATTGTGTTCTATTGCTATCTATGAGATACAGTTAGGCACAGAAGCGTTCTTCCGCAATCCCACATCTCGGTGTTCGGAAATATGTCTACAGTTGGTAAATCATTCTTTTTGCTAAATCGTAACATACCCTTGGAAAAATCCCTAATGCGGATACTTGGCATTCATCAACTGAGTATTTTATTGAGCCAGCCAGTGTTCTTTCAACGAATTCATAGCTTCTAATTTTTCAGTGACTGGGTATCAACACCGACAAAATTTCGGCTTCTCGTGTTTATCTACAATATGTCATCCAGTCAGTTGAAATGTTGTCTCTCTGTTTAACTGATTCTTTGGCCAAATAATCAGTTATAGCTTTCTTTACTTAAATAGCTGAATGTTCATGTACTCACCACCACGCTTTGGCTACTTCACGAGCACGCACAGGGAAAATCTGACAGAGAGCGATGACTGCAAGGTTAGACTAATTCACATCACGCGGCTCTGTAGAAAGCTGAGCCTCGTAAAAAAAGAGAGAGGCTTGGGTCGAGTTGCGACAGGAGATTTTATCACGTACAACAATCACTGGTTTAGTCGGCAATAAACGTGTTTGTACATAAAATATAGCAGTTGATTTTTTTTTACGAGATCAGTAATCAAACAGTGCTCACAAATAATGTGTAATGTCCCATATTAGAGAACTAAAGCAGAGACGTCTTTGAAGTGCAGACGCCAACCGTGTAAAGAATAAAATTAATTCTGGCGCACTTTGACGTCAAATTATTGACCTTAAGGTCGTCGTTTTAGCATTTGAAACCAACATGTCACCCTTAATTGATTTTAGTACGAGAAAGTTTTGCAGATTTCGATAAAATCAGGTCCTTGACGATCTCGGCATTATCAAAGCAATACAATAGTTTCATACATGCATTAATTATATATCCTGGCCGAGGTTCCTCCACTCCACTGTAATTTCTTTTGTAGATACCTCCAACTAGTGGATCGTGTAACGAATCCAAGTTTCCGACTTTGAAACCGAAATCGATTGTATCTTCGTCCATGAACGTTTGAATAATGCCAAACTTAACCTTTGTCACCTTGGCTTCTTTCAATTTAGGAATGTATTTGGAAACACCAGCTAGAATTTTTTGACCCTTGGCGCGTTTCTCGTTTTCGGAGAGATTGAATAAAATATGCGCGAATTCTGGTTCCAGTTCGTTAGAGGAACTCACGGCGATGTTTGTCTCTGGTGCATAAGTCATCATTCCAACTCGGTTCCCTTTGTTAGAAAACATGCAGAAGGGTCCCATGCAGAAGGGTCCCATGCAGAAGAACATTGAAGGCATTTGGACGAGATTTTCATGGAGCTGCACCGTGGTGATTGCTTTGATTCTGTTGCACCTTTTCCTTGTTAAAGCGGAAATACCAAGCGTCTTGTTGAATTTTCCAATGTTGTACCATGAGGCATTCACAGTTACCTCGGCGAAAATGTTTACGTTGTGGCCAACTGACAAATCTACTGCTTCTATCAGATATGCGCCACAATCTTCGACCGCTGAAATTTCTGGGACTTCAGTGTTTGTTCTAATTAGAACCACTTTCTTGTATTGAAATTGTTCCAGCTGATCTATTATAAATCTCCTCAGCCCACGCAATCTTGGAATTCACAAAGGATTATGATTAACTTAATCAGTCTGATATGTATGCATGATTACCTTAATAGGAAGAATGCTGTTCACAAATTACTTTATTTCGTTCTAATGATCGAGCGTATACAACAGTAGTTACCTGACCAGTGACGTTGTGCATAATCCATGCAAATTATAGCTCATATCATTCAATGGCAGATTATGCTCTTACATTTCTTTAGCACTTTTGTACCGTTGAGCCTGCCCTGAATTATAACCATTATATGACTTAAAGTGTATTTCCGTTCCTGTTCCCTAAGGTCTAAGGTAGATCTCTTAGCCATTCATCTTCTCGATCAAGAAACATCAGAAACATCAGCAACCTTTACAAATCCGACAGCATTCCATTCACTATCACGTTTCACCCTCACAACCACTCAGTTAAATCCATCATTCTTAAAAACTTTAAATTGCTTCAAAACGATCCAGAGACAAGCACTATCTTTTCGCAGCCTCCGCTCATTTCATTAAAACGCGACAAAAACATAGGCAATGTTTTGGTCAGAAATTCTTTTCAGACTAATGACCAACCAGGCACTTTTAAATGCGCTCGTGCACGATGCAAAACGTGTCCTTTCATTCACAACACTGAGAAAATATCGGGACCCAAACGATCCATTAAGATCACCGATCACTTCACGTGCACCTCCGCCAATGTAATCTATTGCATAACTTGCACTTATTGCAAAAAGATATACATCGGCGAAACAGGCAGAAGACTAGGTGACCGATTCCGAGAACACCTTCGCGACGTGGAGAGGAATGACAAGGACACATCGAAACCAGTCGCTAGACATTTTAATTTACCTAATCATTCTAAGCAACATATGGCAATCTGCGGTCTTTCCTTACACTTAGGTAGCACGGAAAGCCGTAAAACTCTTGAACAAAAGCTCATCTTTCAAACCGGCAGTCTAAATCCCACAGGTATCAACGAACGCTTTTCATTCCACTAATTTATTCGTGTTTTTCTCGTTGCCATGTTCCCACCAATAACGTAGCTCCATTTTCTGCCTTTAAAAGCACACACAACCCACAATTCCTCTATTCGCTCCGACGAAGGGCTAACGCTCGAAACGTCAGCTTTT